GGCTTCCATTAGTGCTGGAGTGACACTTTTAACTTGACATGAATTTGTCTACATTCCTCTATTACACTTCCCTTGGCCCAGACTCTCTGAATTCATGCTTGACTTGCTTCTGCTCATCTGCTGGATTGATGCTTAAATTTTGCCCTTTTTTTGGACCAGGAATTTAACTCAGGGCCTTGTGCTTGCCAGGCTGGTGTTTGTGCCACTGAGCTATCCCCTGGGCTCTTCCATTTTACGTCTAATTGAAGGCATTCAGTCACTGACTCGAGCACACCACATAGATTCCCTGAGATTAGCATCCTTAGTACCTTGGATTTTTTTTCTTCAAAGCTTGTATCAAATTTTTCACTATATAATTATATGAGAATTATATGAGATTGTTTATTATTTAGTTCCTTGGCCAGACTATAAGCTCCTTGAGCACAGGGATTCTATCCATTTTGTGGCCAACCAAGATCCCAGCCTCTGGTAAACCCTAGTTGAAGCAGGCACTCAATAAATATTTCTTGAATCAATGAGTGATTTAAGGGAGGGAAAAGGCAGGTAGAAGGAGGGAAGAGCAGGCTAGCAAGAGAAGGAGCCAGTAATTAGGGCTTTGACGCTTAGTATTTCTTTAAATTTGCCTAAATTCTACTGCAATTTCTTGCTGTTAATAGCCTAATCATGACTATTTCTTCTCAAAGAGTGTGTCTGTATATCTGTACTCTTTTTCAAACTTTTTGAAGCTAATATATATATATATATATATATATATATATATATATATGCCATATTTGTATTTAGTTAAAAATCCTAGAGCAAATCCATATTAACACTTTTGATTTAATCATTATTTATGTCATAAATTACTTAATAAGTGAAAGTCTTCATTTCTACAATATAGGAATACTTTTAGGTCATGTTAAACACTAATTGCTCATTTTGCCCCTTAATTAGTTTCTGAATTTCAATCACAAAATGTGAGTAAATGTGTTTATATGTAAATCATACATGTAAACTTGAATATATGTGCAGCAGGGGCCATATTTTCTTAACTTGTCCAACATTTTAATAACCTTTATTTAGTTTTTGTTCAGCTTCCTCTGATAGAGCATCAGAAGGATGAGTTAACCATGTGTTTTATGATACATACAAGAATGATACATACATGCAGCCTGGCTGGGCATAGTGGTACATCCTTATTGCAAATTCCAGGCCAGCCTACCCAAGACCCTATCTAAAAGGGAAAATGACTATGTGGCTCAATATTAACCGTGTACAATCCTTAGAACTAAAGATTAATAAATCAATACCAAAACATAATGACTAGAAACTCCAGTTCCCTACTGAGCAAGACAGGGAGCTAGATTTGCCTGCAGGAAGACCATAGCACAGGGAGTGTGTGTGGCTGCTGCTGCTGAAGGCTCTGCCCTGGCTCTGAGTCCCTTGGAGCTACCAATGCCTGGATGGGCAGGAGGAGAGTGGGGTCAAGAAAGAAACTTGCAAAACCATTTGATTGAGGCTTCATTTAGTCACTGCTGCCTTAGATCTTGTTCCCCAGAATGCCATCCTCTGCAATGAAGACTTTGGTTCAGGCTATGAAGGAAGTGTGCCAAGGAGAAACCAGAAGGATATGGGAAAGTAGAGTTGGGTAGAGATTGAGCAAGGGTGTGCCCTGAGGGGCGGTTTCCCCTGGAATGTGCAGGTGTGCTGGATCATTCCTTAGATGGCAGCATCTGTCCCACCTGGAGGCAGGAAGCCACTGGGAGTTCACACTCCCGACAGTGCTGAGTCCATCCTGGCTACAGGTCATGCTTTGTAGCTGTAGGGGGGTGGGGAAGATTGTCTCCCTTGGCTGAAGGGTCCTCTGAAGAGCTGGCAAGGAACAGAGGTAGGAGAAAAGCACAAACAAGCTGAGGTATGAGAACCCAGAGCTGGCACAGGGACCCAGAAGAATCATAGAGTTCATGTGCCATGAGCAGCAGTCCTTCTAGTTAATACTGTCTGAAGTTTAGACTTGTTTTATTAGCTTCCTTGAAATAAAATCCTCTCTCTCTCTGATCCTCTGATGGTCAACTCTGTAGCAGCTCCTTTTCTCATCTTTATTACATGTAGCTAACTGTCACATTTAATATTCTCAAATAAATATCCTCACCAGCTACTTTTTCTAGATAAAGGGCATAATAATTAATAAAGAATTATATACTCTGCTTTTCATGTTACATTGTAAAACTGCACGTAGGTCAATACCTTTGAATAATGAGCAATGGATTGTATTCTGTGCTACGAGCCCTGTGTGGAACAGGTAGACCACATATTTTGCTGACTCTTTGAAAGGTTCTAAACCACTGACCATCGCTTAGCTGCCTTAAATTCATTCTGTCTCCTAGATTTATTTAATCTAGTCAAACAATAATTCAAAATAGAGATGGCTCTCTAGACTCCCAGCCACAGTAGCCTATGGTTTTCAGCAAATGTGGTTCATGAAGGGGGACTCCTTTACCCTTGAAAAATGCTTATCCTGTCCATCAGTATTAATGGAGGCCACTGTGCCCATGAGACCTGTTCCAAGGTGGAGATGACCTTTTGGAATCTATTATCCTGTTATGTGTAACACACTCTGTAGGAGGCTGGAAATACGTCCTTGGTTTGGGAACTTCTCTAAAAAAGCTCAAAAAGAGACTGCAGTCACTCTTAAAATAAAATTCAAGATTTACTGTTATTGTTCAGGGACTATCTGCCTGCTTTGCTCCCTTTCTTTTTGTTTTGTTTTGCTAAAATTGAACTTTCATTCAGTAATTATTTACTAAGTACCTTCTGTGGACAGATACTATGGTGAGAGTATAGCATGGAACAAAATGTATAGAAGTCTCTTTTTCTGAAAGCTTTCCTTCTTGACATGAGACTGAAGTCACACACACACACACACACACACACACACACACACACACACACGAGTGTATTTTATAGTCCATGGAAAGTACTATGAAGCCAATCAAGTGAGAGCAGGGAACAGATTGACTGATGAATCAGGTGGACATGGGATGTGTTTTTACAGAGGTGCCATGTGAGAAACAGCAAATTCTCTTGTGATCTGGATGGAGGTGGAATTTTCTGGGTAGAGAGAAGGAGCATGGAGTTCTTGGTCCAGCAGTGAGGCTGATGTGGCTACAGGAAAGCTGTTATGGCCAGAGAGAAGGCAAAGCACAGGGTGACTGTGAGGTCTGAGGCAGTGGGAGATGCCAGTTCAGAATGCCCCAGTGGCCACAGCAGGGGGACAGATCTTGAACCATTCAGTAGAGGGTATTAAGTAAAAGGATGACTTATCTGATTTACTTTTTAAAAGATAGCTACCTGCTTTGCTGCTGGTGGTGGTATTAGGAGAGGCTGGGAAGACGGGAAGGTAAAGGCAGCAGGCGATATTTATATACCTAACACATCACACTCTTATGAGGATTTGACACTTTAGTATTTACTCCAAGGAGAACTCGATAATTTTGTGCAGCACAGTCACTTACCTGTGTCTCGCTTTGCCTGTGCACTCATACATGGAGCAAGTACTGACCACCTCACCTGCCAGCATCTAGTAAGAGATGGAGTAGACTTGCACTGTAAACTGAATCACTTTTTAAATTATTTGTAAGAAGAGAAGTTATTTTTTTCTACAGATGAACAAGGTAAAAATGATCGACCTGTGAAAAGAGGACATGGTTTCAGTCTACAGTTTATGTGCTCCATGGCTGTGAAGTCCAAGTGTTCTATCACGTGTGTTAACTGTAATGTATAAGCAAGCAAGAGAGAAAGGAAGGAGAATGGTTGCTGCACAACACTGTTAGGATGGTAGGAGTGCACAAAGCAGCGTTAGAGGGAAGGTAGCTCGGGCAGGGTGCTTGCCTATCATGTGTGATGTTGTGGGCTTGAACCTCAGCATTCAGGAAGAAGCAGAGAGTAGAAAGACAAGGAAAGTGAAAAGAATTGGAATTGACAATGCTAGCCGTGTGGATGAGGGGACAGAAAGGACAAGTTCTAATAAAGCACATAGCAGACTTCTTTACTGCTCACACCAGAAGATTAACTAGGATGCCATTTTTTTTTAAAGTTCACAAATGCAGAAACTCATTCTAGCAATTCAGAAAGACACTTTATGGGATGTTTGGGCTCAGTGACTTCTGATAGTTTAGAATCTGGAACCTATGCTTGAATCCTTTCTAAGTTGACTAATAATTATAGGCATATGATTTGGGTTAAACTACCCACTTCTGTAAATTGTGGCACCTTTGCCAGAACATTCCATCTCACAATGTTATTTGAAGAATCAACAAAAGAAATATAAGAAAGGAAATCTATTCTTTGGTATTGAGGGTCTAACTGTTATTAATCGTCCAACTCTGTGAAGTCAGGGCTCATTTGGACCCTGCTCATCATGCACTTATTTAAATGATGGTTAAAGCCATTTAAGGTGGACATCTACCCCAGGAGAATCTGGGAGCTCTTGCTTCACAGTTCAGACAGTAAACAGTGAGTCATTTTACAATACATGTAAATTGCAGTTTCCACTTTACTCTCCTTCGGAAGGGTCTCCTTACTATTCTTCAGATTAGTCTTTTCTTTCTAGTGGCCCTCTTGCAGAAGAACTGTGCATATATTTTGAATATCCACCTGAAATACTTTGTGATGCATATAAATTTGGGTTAGATGTGTTAAATTAGAATTTGCAATGTCAACTTTCCCGGTTGTGGCTAGTCCTATTTTTCATTAGCCGTTGTGGACATTAGTAGAAAGCAATAGGCTTTTATGTTCTTGGTTGGCATGCATCACAGATTTTGACCTCTTTCCGAAATGCACACTAATTTTCTTGCTTTCCCTATCCTATAGATAACCATCAGTGTATTACTCCATTTGAGCAAGAGCACCATACTCTCAATAGGTATTTCAGAACACACATGCTGGAGGAAACAACAAAGTGCCCTTCAGTCCACGCTCATCAGTGCCTTGTTTGTCTCCCTTTCCTCTGTCTCTAGGCACGTGTGAGATTGGCTGGGCCTACTACTGCTCCGGAGCTGGTGCTGCTGCGGCCATGCTGCTGTGCACCTGGCTGGCTTGCTTCTCGGGCAAGAAGCAGAAGCACTACCCCTACTGAGACGGGCCACTAACAACAAGCAGAGGAGAAGACAGGCTGCCGGGGCTCGAAGGGGCCAATGTATCCCGCTACTTTCAAAAGGTGGAATAGTAGTTCCCATCCAATACAATGCTAAGGAAATGAAATGCAGTGGAATCAGGAGAGAACAAAGGAAGAAAAAGTCATAGAAATTTGTGGGAAGAAATGGAGCGAATGAGATGATGGAGACAAATGGACCAAAGGTTAAGACTATTACAGAGTGTTGGGTAGCTCTATTCCACAAGTTATAGTTAATGTATATCACACACACACACACACACACACACACACACACACACACACACACACTTACACAAAGCAAATCTATATATGCAAACAAGGATTTTTGTCTTTGTTATGTTTTGTTTTTTAAAGGTGAAGAGTTGGGAGACTCAAAAGGGCTAGCAGAGACAGTATCAAGTGGGAAGCAGGGTACCCCACACACGTCCCCTGTAGGTGACAACGTCCGGAAAGCACACTAGTACATGCACACACGCACACCCATGCACACGCGCCTCCCACACACACCTAGATCATCGCCAGACTGCAGTGGAAGTTTAGCACTGCACTGTTTCTCATTTTTTAAAATATTGACTGAAAATATAGCATTATCACTTTATTAGACCTAATAAATGGACCAATAAGTCACTCTGTCAGTATTTTCTGTATCCTGGATAAACTTCATAGTCTTATCATGGTTTCAGTGTTTATACAGGTGTGTAGAATTAAGCCTTCATATTTCAGTATTATTCAAAGATATGCAATATTTCTGAGTAGCTTCTGCTATGATATTCTTATGAAAAAAGGGGAAAATTTCTGTCCACTGAGAGAATTTAATTGAAAATATGAGAAAAATGAGAGTCATATTCCTGTCATCAGATCTTGATTTCTTTTGTCCATTATTGTAACATGCTGTGCCACTTTTATTTCAATATTCATTTTGTAAGAATTATAAAGTGCTATTTTGTTTGTATTTGAAAAGTTCTGTGAATAAATTCTCTCTTCAATCAATAGTTCAATGAGTCATAGAGTGTTAATTTCAGCTACCAGGGGTTCCCCCCTCCTTTAATTTCTTAAATATAGCCTTTCAACTATGACAGTTCTGATAATCTTCCTTTTCTCTTTAAGGGGGTCTCATTAATTCACTCAGTAATTATCCAAGCAGGTATTGTTCTAAGCACACAATGCATTAAAGGTAAGACATCGCTTTTTCTTTCAGTTTAAATTCTTTGCAGTCAAAGTTCTAACTTTCTTTCATTGGATTTTTATCATGACCCAATTCTTATTTGAGAATTTCAGGCTTTTTTTTATTATTTTGAGCATGTAGGGACTATTCAGGCATGACTGAGGGCCTTGAGAAGCAGATCACAGTTCAGCAAGTGTCTGAGATGAAAATCTCCAGGATGGGTTCAGAGCTGTCACATGCTATCAGTGATCTGCCACCCTCCACCTTCTTTGAGATGCCGAGACCATTTTACACTGCTATTATTTAGACATTGTGGCCATTTAAGAAAGGAGATCTCACACTTCTACCCCTAGAAGAAAGGTGTAGTTTTTCATGACTCCTTAGCCACAGCAATTGGCTCCTCGGGAGCAAAAATTACATACCACTCAATAACTATATTCTTTATTAAGCAAATCTGAGTTATTAGGATGAATCCTAAAAATTTGAATTAATGTGTGAATTACATACTCCTCACATCTGGAAATTAAATATTCCAGTTACTTATACATGAAACAATATTTTCTACACAGCCTATACATATTTATCAGTTTGACTTGAATATCTGAATATCACACTTGCTTCCAGTCTTTAATCTTTCCAGAAGGAGATCCATGCTGCTTTAAGAAGAACAATCCCAAAATGTGGCCAATAAAATTCTGGATTTTCTGAGGCTTTGTTGGTATGGAGAAAGTCATTCTGCTCTCACATGCCTAATTCATAGTACACTGAATGTCATTTGATTGTGTCTCATTGTCTCCTGAGCAAGGGCCTCTCAACCGTGATTTCCTGCAGAGAAGAGATTGCACTTCGCTTCCTCAATTAGCCTATCATTTTCATGAATTGCTGGTGCAGTCAGATCTTTTTAACTTCATCTTCCTGTCAGAATAGTGGCATGGATTCTTCTTAGCTGTCATTATCAAGTTGGACTTCTCTATGGAATCCATGAAGATATAATTCCTGGGGTTGCCCAATCATCTTCATGTCCATGTGATTGGACATTAGTGAGACTGTATAGAATAAAAAGCTGATCATGCCCGCACGATAAAGCAGATGGCAAATCCTTTTTAATATGACCTAGCATTTCATGAGGAACATCCAATTTAAGAAGTACACAGGTTACTTTTTAAATGAAAATAGGATTTATAAAATAATAGAAATAACAATCTGAAAGTATATACAAATTGTGCTGGGTTGCCAGCTGGTGGTCAACATGTTACACCCCACTGAGCTGAGCTACCACGGTGCTGTGTATGTGAGGCTACCTGAGGACTGTTGCCAGCTGCATAAGTGGCTGAACTGGAGAAGCTGCTGAGAGCTAGTAGGGAAGCTGTAGAACTGCTGGGGAGCTGTTGGAAGCTGCTGGTTCTCAGGGCTTTTCTGCTGGGGGACGTTGTCACCCTGGCTTTCCTGGTGAGCTGGCTGTTGAAATAGAGGAGAAGCTCAGGATCTCTTTGTCACTGAGGATGGCTGTGGTTCACTTTGGGGGAGCACTGGTCCTCACTTTGAGCGTTGCTTCCTGGCTCCAGAGGGGAAGATGGTGCACATCGCAGTCTCTGGGAGAAGCTTGTCACTTTGGCTTTCCTGATGTGACCGCTGCTATCCTCATCCTCAGAGGAGCTGGCGCTCTCATTGCTGCTGAGGACAGCTATGGCACTTCTGTGGGAGCTCTGGTGCTTACCTTGGGCATTGCTTCCTAGCTCTAGTGCAGATCCCTCAGCCTGCTAGCACAGATCCTTCATCCTGCTGGCACAGACTTTCTAGCTTGCATCACTGACTTTGAGCCTTCCCAGTGCAGACCCCCATGAAGCAGGCCTGCCTGAGACATCGTCATGGGCTCTAGGCATCTAATGGGCTCTGGGTCTTCAACTGGACTCATACAGGATATTAGAATCTACACCCACAGCTGGATTCTTTGGTCTTTAGTGTGTGAACAGATTTCCTGTACTCTACGTGCATGATTCTTTGGATAATTCAATATAAAATAATCTTATAAAATGTGCCCTGTATTTTATTATTCTCTTGCAAAAAACTCAAACCATGACACAAATTATTCCCAATTTAGGATGGGTTACATTTAATAAATCATTGGTAAATTGAAAATATTGTAACTCAAAAATGCATTTACTCACCATATATCAAACATTATAGCTCACATGGAGAATATTGTAGAGTATCAGTTGCTTACCATAGTGATTTCATTGCTGACTGGAAACTAGAGCTAGCCACCTCTGCCTCCTAAGAGAACATCATACATATTCCCATCCTGGGGGAAGTGAACAAAGTGAAAAATACAGTTTCTACTGAATACATGTGATTATAAACATTGGTATTCTCTGGAAAATGACATGGCACCTTGATTACTTAAGCTACGTGTATAGAAGAAATACATATTTGTTGCCCTTTGAACTTTAAATCCTAGAGACAGGAATATAGCTCAGTGGGATAGCCCCTGCCTGAGTTCAATTCCCAGTACCAAAGAAAAAAGAAAACCTTCAAGAAAGAAAGAAAGAAGGAATGAAGGAAGAAAGGAAGAAATTTAAACCCAAAACTCTCCTTATCTGATCCTCCTAAGTGGTGTCAAAAACAACATTCAGGATAAAAAGAACACAGATGGATCCATTGTAAAGCTGGAAAGTCTCTGATCAAATTCTAACATTGGAGAGTATTATTACATTGTTATTTATGCATATTTAAGAGAGGAGAGAGAGCTTCACATTCACAACTTTAAAAGGATTTCATGGTTTGTATGTGCCAGGGGGGTAAGTGGGAAGTTGACCTTGTTTGTAGGAAGAGAAAAGGACACTCAAGTTAATTGATGACATTTAGTTGACTTCCAGTTTTCAGAAATTCATTTATGTACTTGAGTATAAGAGCTGGGTAACAAGTATAAAAATGTAACAGGAACATCAGCAATTACCATGTCCTATTATATGAATTGACTCTCAAACACAGGGAGGATGTTTCTCCCAAGTAAAGAATCTTGTAAGACAAATTAAAAGGATGTAAAGAAAGCTGATAAAATGCAATCTTTTGCCCTTCAAAAGTCAGCATTAAAAAAGGCCAACATTAGAAAAAAAGGAAAACAAAAATTAGAAAAAGTGACATATTTGACAAAGGGAAGCAGAAAGGACTGATTCTTCATTTTTATTAATAATAAAGATAACATTTTTGTAACCCTGAATGACTGGGGCAAATCTGAGGACAGCCAAGGCTCATGTGCTCTTCTCTGGTTCAGGCTTTCTGTCTTGAAGTGGACCATCTCCAGACAGCCTGAGGGAGGTAAAACCACTAGATGGTTAGGGCACATTCCAGCAGCCCACATAACCTGGCAGAACTCATCTGCAGCCTTGAGAGCAATTTGGGGGCCAAGGGGGCTGTGTCAAGTTAGTTCCCAGAGCACAGCAAGTGTGTCCCGTGAGCTGGGCCATTGCAGCAGCACAGCCATGAGGGTCAACAAGAGGATGACAGATTTTGTCCCAGAGAACTCATCCATTGGAGAAAGAAGACAATATCCCATAATCCAGATCATCTTCTCATGCTCCAGGGCTGGGCACTGAGCACAGGGTGATTTCTTTGCACTACAGTGTTTTTTCATATTTTACTTAGAGACAAGGTTTCCCCAGGTCACTTTAAAGTAAATATTTATATCTAAAAATAATAATTTTCAGCAGTGAGGAAAATGAGATCATTTGCAATATGAGAGGAGCAAGAAGAGAGCTATGTATTGTGAGGCCTTTTGTGACCACACAAGCTAAATTCTTTCTACCAGTATTTGGATCTGGAAATGTGTTTATTTGTACTTTAACAAGTTTCAGAGTTGCACTTTCTGTGGCTCTGGAAGAAAATTCTGCCTCTAGCATTTGAGGCTTATCCTGTACCTGCTGTATATGATCACCTGAGCTGCTCAGTTTGCCTCAACCAGAAAATCCCTATGAGTTCTCACACACTTACGTTTTTTATTTTGGTTATTTATTGCTATAAGATATGTTCATTGCTCATGTGTCATGCATCAGACACTATGACAGGATCTATTACTGGCATACTTTACCTTTTATGGTGGACCTTAAATTTTCCTACATATTTTAATCCTTTGAAAAAATACTGTTACAATTCCTTAAACATGTACTAGATCACAATATTAATAACAGTAATTTTTAAATGGATATTTACCTTGCAGTGCATATAGAAATAAGCTTTCCAAGACAGGCTTTCTATAAGAGGCTGTGTTTCTGTACTTAGCTGGAAAAAATTAGAATTTGCAGAAGGCAAGTTATCCAGTGATTTGTCTCCAAGTCATTTTACCTACAAACATGTAGTCTGTAAGGAAACCTGAAGTTTAAGAATATGAGGTGTGAGCAAATACACAGCTTGAATTTTATTGTATTTTACTTTTTATGTGTTTGGTACAGGGTCTCACTGCATAGATTGGACTTGTAGTGAACCTCTGGTTCTCGGCCTCCCTATCCCTGGGATTACAGGCATGTGCTACCATGCGTGGACTGAGTCTCCAGCTCAGTGTGCCAGGGGGCAGGACCAGCATGGGATGCAGTACGAGGGATTGAAGCTCAGTTTCTGTTTGCCTAAGCAAGCACTTACTCCATTGAGCTATCTCACCAGCCCTTAATGCCTGAATTTTAAAAGTCTATTATTGTAAGACACATTACCTTTGATCCTTCTCTAAATATTCTCCCACCCTTCTAATGTGCTCATCTCATCAGTTGTGCCTCTTTGAAGCATTTCTTGAAGTCCTTTATTTTATTTTATAAGATTTTTTTTT